CCACACCCTTGTTTGAAACTCTTTGTTTTGTATTTCCTGTCAAGTGTTCTCATTCAAATGCTATCCAATCAGTTGTTCTCATACAATTAATATCCCATCAGTTGTCATCCTGTGTTTGCTGTCCTGCAGGCAACAACATTCTATCCAAGATTTCATATAGAAAAATACAAGAAACATCTGTATTTGTTGCCCACGCTTAATATTTTATCCAGTTGGTAGAAATGTGTTTAAAGTACAGATATTTAGAGCATAGAGTATTAATTATACATAATGTTTTCTTAATTATAGTCATGTTAACTGTTTAAGGAGAGGGTTTGTTTTCTAGTTGTTGATAATATGTATTTTGATGATTTTTTTTTAGCATGGAGGTGTAATATTTGTTAATGTTGATAAGATGAAAATTCAGTTGAATTTCAGAACAAAAGCTGCAAGTATTTTCCAGTTCAGTCTTTTGTGTTTTAGATTTTACCATGGTTATTTTTAGGTCTCTTTTTGGTTTTATGTAAAAGAAATTTGAGTCTGATTCTGTTTTCATCAGTGGTCTGTATCCTCCTTTGTAGGCACTTTGCATAACAAGTACAGGTTAAATTGTGCTGAATGCTAAGTTTACTTCTGCGTTTGGCATTAAATGGTTTGCATGGAATGAAAATGATGCATTTTTAAACATTACAGGGGAGGGTATCTTTGATATACTGTTGATGTGAAAATTACATGTTGGATTAAATTTCGTAAATATTAAGGAATGAAATATTTTAATTTCACCATGCTAGGAGCTCTGAGGTCTCCCTGCGCTCTCCCCCCCACTCCGCAGCATAGCCCCTGGGAGATGGAATCCTGAGTGTTAGTAAATGCCATCACCCACTCCCCTCCCCCAGCCCCTTAGTGTGCCTGCAGCTGCAGTGGTAGGCATCTTTCAGGAAGTGACCTTGGCTTGTATTAATCAAATTCAGAACACACAAAAAAGCTGCTTGCTAACATGCTGACTTGATGTAAAATTTTATCACACCCATTTTCTTTCAGAATGAGGCCATCTTGTACGAAGATATACGGAAGGATCCTAATTTAATGTAGATAAAGCTTTTTGCCAGCCATATTAAGAAATCAACTAGATCTGTTTTAAAATTATAGTTTCCTTATTGCCAAATACGCAAAAGGGTTTGAGAGTGCTAACTAGAAAATTACTTGTTTTTAATGCTGAATTAAGAAATGACTATTTCAGCCTTACATTTACTTACTGTCTTTTAACAACTGACATTAAATTACTATGCAAATTTTATGCACTATGAAGTATAATGTACATAAACTAGAGGCATTGTAGCAGTGTGCTAAGTAAGGCACTTTTGCATGTTGGTTACTTTGGGGTTTTCAAAAATTTCCATATCGTCTGCTGGTTTGTATGAGGATGATCTTACATGAAATAATTTTCTTAGGCAGTGGTGGTACCTGGATGGGCTACTAAGCTTCAAGTTAAGTTAGTAGAATGCTAAAATTCAGCTACCTTTAGTCTTTGAGAAACATTGCTAACTAGGTTGACTACTTACTTAGAGTTCAAATGATTATTCTGATAAGAGCAGTAAATATGGCTATTTTGTACTTGCATCCTTCAAATGCTTCACAGAGATCTAATATTTTAATTTGGATCTAGTTTTAAGTGCAGTACAGTAAATATATAAAGTAGAGATTTTTTTGGGCCACCATCTACTGCTTTAAATATAGAATATTGAAAATAGTATTTAATGGTTTATTGATTTCTGTGTTTGGAGAAATTGACATAAAAAATGAAAGGAGGGTGCAGTTGGGTCTGTTGGGGGAGGTTTCACACCTGAGTTTATTGAATAGCCCATTACTCCTGGATTCCCCAAGTGTTTGGGAGAGAAGCAGAGGAGAAAAACACGTTCAAACCTTAAGCGCTGCACACACTCCATCTGTAGATTGGCAGTATGAAAAGGGAAGGAATATTCCATGTTTATGTTAATGATTTGGGGAGGGGATTGGAAGCCATGTAATTAGAAAAACTGGGGTGTAAATAATTAAAGCCATTACCTGAGTTATTTTTACAGCATTTGCTGGAAACACAGCCAGCACTGTCTTTTATTACTGTTCTTAGACTTGTGGTCTTACGGAAGTGTGTCTCTGCTTAATTTCATTCTTTGTCTTCATACGGCGTGAATGCTTGGTGTGTTAGTTGTTACAGGGTGTAGCAACAATTATTTCAGGGAGGAAAATGAGAATTGCTTGATTGTTTATACTCTCTAGCACCTGTAAAAGAAGGCACGATTTTAAGTAAAATTGTCACTGTGAACTCAAGACGTTCTTTGCCATCTCTAGCTTCTTTCGGGGGCGGGGGGGGGGGGAGAGAGACAGAGAGAGAGAGAGAGAGCTGAAGAAACAGAACACCTTACAAGAGAACCAGTATTTGCACTCTTGGTAGCCAATGGGTTAATGTTCATTTGCAGCCTGAGGGGTCAGCAAGCAGTCTGTTTCCTGATTGGCTGCTAAAAGGTGAAATTGAAACCACTGTAAACTTTTGACCCTGTAGCAGTTCTGGTGGAACGCCTTCCGCTGGTGGAGCCCAGCGCTCTGCCGCCCTCCCCACCCAACCCTCCCACCCTCTTTCCTGTATTTATTTTGCGTGCTCCTGTGGCACGGCACGCAGTTTTTCCAAGGGAGATGGAGGGAGGCAGAACATGCACTAGCAGGCAGTTTCGGTAACCACCTCATTCTTAACTTCAGCTTTGCCAAAGATGTGAGGCCTCAGTAAAAACTGGTCTGCCAAGCAGATTTATTTTAGTTTTCTTAATCTCAAGGTAATTTAAAAAAATGCTAGGGCATTTAGTGCCATAGTTCAGTCACTGGATAATATCAATAGATCAGCAAATTGCATGGTATAATTTTTTTGGGGACATGTTGATTTAAAAGTTTTTACTTTGAGCTACCTTTTACATATCGTATTTATTCAGATTTTCTATGTTTCATGTAATTTTTTTTGTTAGTTTTATTGGAAAGGCAGATTTACAGAGAGAAAGAGGTGTTCTATCCATGGTCCACTCTCAAGTGGTCACAATGGCCAAAGCTGAGCTGATCTGGAGTCAGGAGCCTCTTCTGAGTCTCCCTGGTGGGTGCACTTGGACCATCCTGCACTAGCTTCCCAGGCTGTAAGCAGGGAGCTGGATCAGAAATGGAGTAGCCAAGACTAGAACCAGCACCCACACGAGAGGCTGGCACTGGTTGGCAGGATTAGCCTGTGAGCCACCGTCCATCAAGCTGGACTTGATCAAACCTTTGTTTTTCTGAAACCAGAGATTCTATTTTTGCTTCATCATTTGAATTTCCAGGTTGACTATGTATAGAACTAAAAGTTTATAATTTCAAAATTATTTGTTATGATTATAACTTGTTAAAATAACTATATAGAATGAGTTATGTCATCCTGATCCTTTCTGTTATAAGTCATAGGATAAACGGCAATGTGTCAGTTTTTTTAACCCTTTTCCTATTTTATCAGACATTTGTTTTTCCTTTTCGCCCATTTAAAAAATGCTATTTTAAAAAAAATTGTTGGTGATGTTGTGATAAGTGTTCTCTAGACTAAACCCTTTTTAAAAAGGGTCTTTTAAAAAACATTATTATTATTTGAAAGGCAGAGAAAGCTGTCCACCTGCTGGTATGCCCCAGTGCCTGCCAGGCTGACCGAGGAGCCAGGCATGGCCCAGCTCTCCCCAGTGGGTGGCAGGCACTCAGGCAGTGAGGCCCTCGCTTGCCTCCTGGGGCAGGCAGAGCAGTAAGCGGCACCCTGCGCCTCGGCTCTCTGACTCAGGCACTTGGGTGTGAGTGCAGTGTGGGACGCCAGCGTCCCCAGCGGGGGTTAACGTGCTGTGTTGCAATTGTTCCTCCACCTAAAGCGTTTTTACTTACTTGGACCTGTAATAACAGACTAAAAATAGTGAAGTTGTTTTTTTCTGAATTTATATAGTTAAAAAAATATTGTAGCCTTTATGTAATTTAAAATTTTCATTAGACCCCACCTGATAGCCTTGTGGCTAAATACTTGTCTTGGATGTACCAGGATCCTATTTAGGTGCGGGTTTGTGTCGCAGCAGCCCCACTTCCCATCCAGCTCCCTGCTTGTGGCCTCCCAAAGCCTTGGGACCCTGCACCTATATGAGCGACCTGGAGGAAGCTCCTAACTCCTGACTTTGGATTGGTTCATTTCCTACCGTTGTGGCCACTTGGGAAGTGAATCAGCAGGTGGAAGATTTTTCTCTCTGTTTCTCCTCCTTTCTGTAAGTCTGACTTTCCAATAAAAATAAATACTTTTTAAATTTTCTGAGATTTTGTTTTCCCCTCTCATTGTGGCTGTAGATTGGTTGCATCTGACTCTCGTAAGTGAAATGTTATAAGTTTTGACAAAGGAGATGTTTTCCACTTGATAAACTGCTCTGCAGCAAAAACACCGTTGCATCTCACAGCAGCGTTCCGTGGCCTTTAGCTGGATGTCCAGGGTGTGAGCCTAAACTTACTCTGTAAGGCTTTGCAGATGAGCGGATGGCATCTGGGTTTTCCTGCATCTTTGTGACTTCAGAACAGTGAGGAGGTGATCTCTGGGAGGGTGCCAGCAGGAGCAGGGAAGAACAAGGAGCTTCATATGACTGCTGATAGAGCCCTGGTCCCTTCCACGTTCAACAGGAGAGGAGAAAAATGCGTCCACAACATTTGCTGGTCACTTATGTCCTGTTGGCATTTCCAGGCGTCAGCCTCATGTAGTTCCAGTTTTCTTTTTCTTTTGTCAACATTGATTTATTTGAAAGGCAGAGATCCAGAGAGAGAAACAAGAGGTAGAGGGACAGACATTTATCTTCCACTCTTCTGGTTCACTCCCTGAATGTTCAAGGTAAGATTCAGGAGCTAGGAAGCTTCTTTGAGTCTCCTGTGTAAGTACGGGATGCTTCTGCTTTTCTAGGCGCATTTGGAGGTAATTGGAGCAGCTGGGTGTGGGATAACCACCTATGGGAGATGCCAGCACCATAGGTAGCAGCTTTACCTGCAATATCACGGGTTAAGCCTGCTAGATTTTCGTTCACTCTTTTTCTTAGGTTGGCTATTCGTTCTGGTCTCAACTGGTCTGAGATGCCCTTTGCAAAGCTCCCTGCCGCCTGGGACTGCTGTTAATTTTATATCGTCAGTCCTACAGAGGGCACAGTGCCTCCCCATCCGTTCTCACTCTGCGTTTCTCATCTATTCTGTGGGCTTCGCTATTGGCTGTGTTGTTTGTTTCTTTCCACTTCCCAGCAGACCTGCCAGTTCTAACATGAATGCTGCTACTTTTAGGTTATAATTGTCCTGATAAAGATACTACTAGAATCAGTGGTTGTCAGGTGACTGCTCTATTGTTGCATTTGGAAATTCTTAAGTAGAGGTGAATGTTTTTATTGGCTCATTTCTTTGTGATATCAGGACCTACTTTATAGTTTCTTCATGTGGGAAAGCCTACTGTTCACATGTTTTATTGTATATAGTCCTCATTTTCCTATTTGGAAATAATACTTTTAGGTGAGCCAAATACATCCTTTTATGAAGCGGTCAAGGAAACCTGTGGCCCTTGCACCCTCCCCCTGAACTTGCTTGCTTTGTCCACCCCGTGGTAGACCCTGAGCTTTCTGGGACCAAGGCATTTACGCATGAGCACTGCCAGGGTGACAGTGTTGCCTTCCTGACTATTGAACATTCATGTGAGGGCATCTCAGTACATTTATTGTGTATGTTGCATCTTTTTTTTTTTTTTTTTTTAGCATAAAAGTGATAATATGGGAAAATGGGGTGCCTGCTCAGATACCTGGGAAGAACCATGGTACCTGAGGGCTGTTGTATTCTCCGGGTAAGGGAAAGGAACAGCTAGTTTGTGTGGCTAAAAACAATGTTTATATGAAGAACAGAGCATTGAAAGTTAACTCCTTTCTTTTTCCCCCTCAGGATTAAAATATTTGCTGAGCAGTGGACCCAGAGACCAATAAAAATAAACTTCTACCTGAATATCATTTGACTGGTTAGCCAGGTAATTCAGTTTGATTTGATCCTTTGTGATTTTTCTTTGATTTGTTTTAATTTAAACTTGCTTTCTGCTTAGTGTTTTATTCTGTAATACTAGGTGGATCAACGGGCTTGGGATGCGTGCCGGCCTGCCTCTCACCGAGCCTTCCGGGGTTAGGACGAGAGGACACCTCCTCTTCTGCTTAGGCCGTGAGAGCAGTTAGCAACGTCGGGCTCAGCCTCACTTTCTTGAGATTGCTTGGTTTGACAAGTGAACCTTAGCCTAATCTTTTTTAAAATTAAAAATAAAAATTTAAAAAGAGCTATTTGAAAGGCAAAATTTTAGGACTTTCCCCCCATGGCTTTCTAGGCACCTGGAACTCCCCCTGGACCCCGAGGTGGCAGGGCATCGGCAGCACGCGGGGTTAGAAGTGGAGCAGCTGAAGCAGTGACACACCCACTGTGCCACAGTGCATGCTCCTCTAAATAATTTCTTACCATCAGATTTAACTTGCTGTACTCACAGTTTTGGATGAGGTCATTTTTCTTCCAAATTATCTTAATTTAGTAGGTTATTAGGCTGCCAGGCAGTAATCTACCTACCTTCCATTGGTGAGGTTTGTCCCAGTAAACCCAGAATAAGTGCTACGTAATGGCCTCTCCGCATTGCAGTCTTTGTTAATAATTCGAAAAATATTTCAGTTGTAACAGTTAAGGTCTGCTTGTTTTGGTGAATCAGTTTACAGATATTGACTAAACCTACAAAATGATACTCTTGACATGAGAAGTAAAGAGGATTCCTTTTTTACTGTTTTTAGTTATGTATACATGTAATTTTACAGTGATTTTTGTATGCTCTGAGTCTTTTTAAGATTTGGGGGGTCATTTGGGGTATAAACCAGCAGATGAAAGAGTTTTCTCCTTTTAAAGGTTGGTTTTTGATTGGAAAGTCAGATTTGTAAAAGGAGAAACAGGGATCTTAATCTGCTGGTTCACTCCCCAGACAGCCACAACAGCTGGAGCTGAGCTGATCCAGAGTCAGGAGCCTCTAGCCTCCTCCAGGTTTCCCACACAGGTGCAGAGTCCCAAGGCTTTGGACCATCCTCTGTCACTTCTCCCAGGCCACAATCAGGTAGCTGGATGGGAAGCGGAGCAGCCAGAACATGAACTGGTGCCCATATGGCATCTGGCTGTTGCAGATCGATTAGCCTCTTGAGCTACAGTGCCAGCTCCCAAGAGTGTTCTCTTTTAACTGCCCAGTTTTCATTTTCCGCAGAGAACGCTCTCATTCCCTAGTTGCTCTTCGGATGCCTGCAGCAGCCTTCCAGTGGGGCCGTGGCTGGGAGTGAGGGAGTCAAGCCACGCTTCCTCTGTGGGTGGCTGGAATCCTCACCACTGCCTTGCACTGTCTGCGTTGGGAGAAGCTGGAGTCAGACCCGGGCACTCTGATGTAAGACATGAAGTGCCAGGGTTAACCAGCATTTTAACTGTTAGGTCAAATGCCAGTTATTACTTAAAAATTCTGTTTTGGGCCTGGTGTGATAGCGTAGCAGTTAAAGTTCTCGCCTTGAACACGCCAGGATCCTATATAGATGCCAGTTCTAATCCTGACAGCCCCGCTTCCCATCCAGCTCCCTGCTCATGGCCTGGGAAAGCAGGAAGGGAAGTGGGGCCGCCGGTATTAGAACCGGTGCCCATATGGGATCCCAAGCGTGCAAGGCGAGGACCTTAACCACTGCACCACCGCGCCGCACCGGGCCCTCTTTTGCCTTTCAAATAAATAAATCTTATTGTTTTTTTTAATTAGAGAATTAAAGTAGTCTTGAAGTCAGTTGTATTTTTAGCCAGTCTTTTTAGATGACATTTTTCTAGTCCTGGAAAGTGTGCGTGGCATGTAACACAAAAATTCAGTTGTAACCACAGAAGTTTTAAAATCTTGACATTGGAATCTCGGGCTCTGAGATCATTCATTGTCTTGAAGTAAAGCTTTCACGAGTTGATAGATTTAGCATCATGAAAATTTTTTTGTCCAGTTTTTATGTCAGTTTACTTAAGATGAGAACATACTGAGTATAGTTGGATAAAGAAATGCAAACATTGCCAAGGCCAAAATAATTACCAAATGGTTTCATGTAACATTTTGTTAAAACTTTAGTTTCTAAAACTATGTACCATAATCTTGCAGAAAATGCTGATATGAAGATAAGTTACTCCTGGCACAGTCTGGGGGTCGGGATGTATTTACGGTAGAATAGTGAAGGTGTTTGTCTTAGTCCTTCAGTTTGATTTGGAGTCATACCACTCAGGTTTAACTATTTTGGTTATAAACTCTGCTTTTATGCTCTCTAATTAAAATATGAACCAAAGTCATGGAAGTCTTATAAAGTAACTTAAAAACTAAACAATTTAAGGGAATTGCTTTCGTTTATTTCTTTTAAGAGCTGAGCTGTTGGCTCTTGGGATTCAAAAAAAATCTTTCTGGGAGAGAAGTGGACATTTGGTACAGTGGTTCTAAGGAGCTGCTTGGGATGTGCGCAGCAGGCATTGTGCCTAAGCTAGAGTCCTGATTGTGCTTCCAATTCCAGTTTCTTTCCAGTGTGTATCCTAGGAGGCAGCAGGTACTCTGTGAAATTCCTGGATTCTTGCCTCTCGTAGGGGAGACCCAGATTGAGCTGCTGGCTTCCTGCTGTGGCTTATCCCAGCCCCAGCTATTGGAGGAATTTGGGGAGTGAAACAACAGAAGGAAGATTTCTGTCTTCTTGAATATGTGAAAGTAAACAGTTTGTTAGTGAGATAGAAGCAAAGAGAGCTCCCATCTTCTGATTCACACGCCAGGTGGCAGGGGCTAGGCCAAGGCTAAAGCTGATATCCAGGAACTTAATCCAGTCTCTGTGTGAGTGGTGGAAATCCAGTTACTGGAGTCAGAAACCAGTCACAGAACTGGTTGCTTTGACATGAAACCTGGGCATCTTAAATGCTAAACCTGTGACAGATGGATGGCTTCTTAGGTTTATTGTCTGTATGTAGGAAAATGGACATTTGTTAGTTTTGTCATGATTTGTCGTATAACACCTCCCCCAATTGAAATCCACAGAACACAGAATCCCTGTTTTCTAGCATGGGAACTAGAAAGAACAATCTCATTTGGCTTCAGTTTCCTTATTTGTTTTACTGAAGGTCTCAGGCTTTTTTTGTTTGTTTGTTTGTTTTAAGATTTATTTATTTTTATTGGAAAGGCAGATATACAGAAAGGAGGAGAGACAGAGAGGAAAATCTTCCATTCGATGGTTCACTCCCCAAGCGGCCGAAACAGCTGGAGCTGAGCCAATCTGAAACCAGGACCCACGTGGGTGCAGGATCCCAAGGCTTTGGCTGTTCTTGACTGCTTTCCCAGGCCACGAGCAGGGAGTTGGATGGGAAGCGGGGCTGTCGGAATTAGAACCGGTGCCCAAATGGGATCCCAGTGAGTTGAAGGTGAGAACCTCAACCACTACGCTATCGTGCCGGGCCCACAAACCACTTGCTATTAATCCAGCCACCTTTTTCTGTTCTTGATGAAAATGGATGGAGGTATGATTTTGATAACTATTCATAAAAACTGACAGCTTTATTGGATTTGGACAAATGCAGATATAAAACAACTCTGAAATCAGTTATTCTGTAACTGATGTAATATTTGCATTTGCAACTTAATTAAGAAATGTAATTGGCCTGAATATCAGGCCAGTGATCTGAACACTGACATGCTGTGCAAATAGTGCAGTTTATATCCGTGTTATCACAGCTCTTTCCCTCATATGCCAGCTCCTAATTGCTTTCTTATGATTGTATTTGTTTCCAAAGATTGTTTTAATAGGAATTTGCTTTTGAATCAGTATAATACTTAATATATAAAGCCTGTAATATTTAGAAGTTGATACTGAAAACCTTTAAACTTCTGACCTTGAGTAGAATTTGCTGTGTATAATCATTGCTTGCAGCTGGTGGATTAGAAAAATTGCCTTTCTGGGTTTATGCTTTGTAAGAAATAGTATCTATTAGACACAAGTGTGTGACAGCCGACGTTGAGCTGTGATAGCAGGACCCTTGCTCATTTTCACATTTTAAAGCAACTTTGAAAGCTCTACATGTGCACACATGCTCGACATATGTTTTTAAGCTTTAAATAAATTTTCCATCATGTATTGCTCGTCATTAATACAAGAAACCTTCAATCTCTGAAGAGCTCCGTATGTTAACCTAAGTGCAGAAGCATCCAAAGAGCAGCACTGCAGGCCATTTCATTCATTTCTGTGGAATTCTGTCTTCCTCTGAGTTTTAAATAATTACAGGTTTGTTTGCAAGTCTGAGTTACAGAGAGATCTTCCGTCCTTTGCTTCATTCCGTAGATGGTTGCAAAGGGCTGGGCTGGGCCAGTCCAGAGCGAGGAACTTCATTTGGGTCTCCTGCATTTAAGTTAAGGGGGAATTAAGGGGGCCCAAGCGCTTTCCCCACATTCCACTGCTTTGCTGGGCCGTCCACAGGGAGCTGGGTCAGAAGCGGGGTAGCTGGGGCGGGAATTGGTACCCGTAAGGGGTTCCTGCATCAGATGCAGTTTGCCACAATGCTGGTCCCAATGCCTTTCAAAACAGATAATAAATCTTTAAAAACAAGTAAAATCAGAAGTATGTGATTCCTACTCTTGGTTCTTAAGATTATCTTTAAAGTTAGATCATGATAATCAAAAAAATTTTTTTGAACTAAAAATGTTTCATAATATGACAGCAAGCTTATTAACACCTTTTGTGGTTGGTGTTTTCACATGTTTTGACCATTTGATATTGGTGTGCACATCAGATTAAGTTGCTACAAGATACTGAGAGACAAGCTTTTACTTTAGAAGGTAAATTGACCATGCACAGCTATGATCCTGTACTCTTTTCCTTTCCAGACATGCTGCAGGAGGGCGAGAAGGGAAGGAAGTTGGAATTTAATGGTTCATGTGTAGGAGAAATTTTAAATGGATTTTTGATAAGCCTGTTTTGT